CAAACATCCTAGAGACAATTTCTGCAGTCCTGACTCTGCCCTCACCTGGCCCTGGTCCATGGGAAGATGTGGGGAGGAGACTTACAGGGGCAGGGGCGTTTGAAGGACATGTAATCCTTGGAGCAGAACAGCGGAGCCAGCCTGCCCACGTGCACAGCTGTGATTTCTCGCAGGGAAGGACCCTCCGCTCACCTGCAGAGACACAAACAGGCAGGTGATGGGGGCGTCCATACAGCACCTACTGACCCTGCAGGGCGCTCCTGTACCCTCGGCTGTCAACCTCTGGGGAGAGGATGGTGACTTTGAGAGCATGGGCCTAGTCTGAGTGGGGGCCTGGAGGGCTCTGGGCTGCAGAATATGGGGGTTCTGGGCAGGGGTGGCACAAATGTGTGCTAGGTTCTCAGTAGTCAGTGGAAGGGGGGAATCTCTCTCCTGGGTGGACCCTTGAGAATCTTGTAACTGTCAGGGCTGGAAAGACCCTTAAAGATCAGTTCAATGTCCTCATTTCACAGAAGGGGAAACTGAGAACTGGAGAGGGTGAGGAACTAGTTTAAGGTCCCATAGCTGGCTTTGGAAGGGAATTCATAGATGCCTAGCTCAGACCTTATTATCATCATCATCATCATCATCATCATCACAACAGTTTTAAGAGAAACATGCTCTGCTCTTTTCATTCTCATTTTATAAATAAGGCAGTTGAGGCTCAGAGAGGTTATGAAGCTTTCCAGGGTCACACAGCTTCTAATTACAGGCTGGGACTAGAACCCAGGTCTGTTTGACTCCAAAGCCCACACTGTCAGCCAGCACACTCCCTTAAAAGGCACCTAATATATTAAATTACCAATTCAGAAATAAGAACCTAGAGAATGAAACTGTTCCCCAATTCCCCCTGTACCCCCAAGTAACACCCAGGTGTCAGGATGTCTGGGCAGCAAAGGACTGCCAGGTCACTCTAACACCCATTTGCAATGGAGGAGACATTTTCAGAAAGTAATCCATCTTCCCATGCTGCTGGAGATCTGAGTTGATTCAGTCTCTCCTGGTATGTCCCCAGGTGACAGGAGGCTATGGGAATATTAGGGAGTTACAGTTCTTATTTCTAGGCAGTGCGGTCACTTCACGTGCAGAAACCAAACTGCACCTTTGGATGGATGTGGAGCCGAGCAGGTACTTGCAGGGGAAGCTGTCAGTCATAAGCCAATGGGAGAAGAGCCTGGCCCCTCTAGGTCCCAGGGGACATTCGGCTTCCCTGATCCTGGGGATGGTATCATTGTGGACAGAACTTTTCTGTAAGAGGCGGGTCCAGAGGTCCCACCCTTTTCTCCTCCAGGGATCCCTTTTATCATATATTTTTTTTCTCCAAATGGGTCCTCTGTTTTGACGGGGCCAATTGGCCAAACTACACTAATAACTGATTATTCTATTTAACAAACAAATCAAACACCTATCTTTGGAGAGCCTGAGCTCAGAAGTGCGATTCCTGAGTGCTGATATCAACTCTGCCACTTCCTGGCAGTGTGACTTTGGACAACGCACTTCAGCTCTCTGAGGTGCAGCGTCTTCCTGGGGAAAGCAGGGTAAGGACACTTACCCTGCCGTGAGGACGGGGGTTGTGTACGGAAAGCCCATGGCAGGCGTGTGTGCCTGCAAAACGTTCATTCTGCTGCCTGAGGGGGGTGGGAGGGAGGGGGCCGTGACTGCTGCTGACCTGGGAATCCCTCTTCAGGTGGCTTCTTGCAGCTCAGCCTGTCCTGGTGTGAACCCCAGGCTGGCCTGACACCCACTCCCAGTCCCCATAGAAACCCAGTCAAGAGTTCAGATGGGGGAAGTGAAGGTAGGATGTGATCTCCCCAGGCCTGGTAGAACCGGCGTGGCAGGCTGCTTGGGGAACTGTGATTTCACACCAGAAAACTCACAGAGCATCTCAGGGCCTGGGATCTGTGCTTTCTAAAAATACACGTGTGTACGTGTCTGTGTTCATTTCTGCGGGTGTGCTGGTGTGCCCTGTGGCCGCGTGTGAGTCTGGAGGAGGATGTAAGTGGGCTGACAGGTCATCTCTTGTGCTCCTTCCAGAGAGGTCTTTCTTAAAGGCAAAATGGATTATGTCACTTGATGAAAAGTCTTCCACAGCCTCCCGTGCCCTGAGGAAAATGTGCTGGCTTCCGCGCCAGCCTCCACAGTTCCAGGGCTGTTTCCCTCTCTAGTGAGGTGGCATAGTGTGGGCGCTTAGTAAGTGCACGCTGAATGTACACTTACTATAAGGCTATCCTGGTGGCACCTGATGCCATGGAGGGTGCTGACCAGCTCCGACACTTCAAGCAGCTGTCCCCAAGGTCCTGCTTCTCCTAGAGGCCCCCTGTACCCCCTCTTTCCTCCCACTGGGCCTTGTGACACTGAGATGAAGGCTGGGGTTTTGTAGGGTGTGGGGAGGTGAGAGATGACCTCCCAGGGAAGGGGGCACCAAAACCCCTTGCGTTACGTATCGTTCTCCATGGTCAGTTTGGGTGTTTGGTGGACAGCGTGTTAGGTTCCCAGGTGGCCAGGAGGCTGGCAAGGGGCCGGCAGGTTTGGCCATGGGTCAGGTAGACATTTCCGTATGTGGAGATGTTCTGGGCACGCTGGCTTTCAGGGTGGCTCACGTTCACCAAACACCTGCGTGTGCCAGTTAAGATCACCGAAATTACTGCAACAGGTGCCCCGAAGTGGGTAACAGTTTCATTTTGCAAATGAGAAAACTCATAGGCTCCGTGACATAATAACCCACCCGAAGTCACCCAGAGAGAAGAGGTGGAGGAAGAGCAATGCAGGGACGGAATCTGTCAACCCCCCCCCCCCGTGCCCCTTGGTTACTGCAGGGCCACCCCACAGAGATCTGACACCAGGTCACGTCTCCCCCCCCCACGGCCGCCTCACTCAGCACCCAGCATCTGAGGCGAGGCGTGTCCCTGCCTGTGACTCATCTCCGACTGGATTGTCTGGCTGGAAACCGGAGGGCGGGCCGGCGGGCTGCGGTATTCCAGGTTCTGAAGTGGCTGAATGGTGGGCGGCGAGTCCACGTCACTCCCACTTTGCTTCACGTCCCTGCTCCCGGAATACCTCCTTTCTGTAGCCACTGCGACACTCTGATCTCGATCAATGAGCCTGTGGTTAGTGGACTGGCGCCGTATCCCTGGCGGAGGCGGCCAGGTAACAGCGGGGACAGGATGGTCAGCGCATGCGCGGCGGAGGCACCCAGAATGGAGGGTTGAGCTTCACCGGAGTCCACGGCAGACGGGGCAGGGCCGCGCAGGGGCTGGCCTCCGGGATGGGCCACGTCTATGCAGCGCCTGCTCAGCCCATTGGATCTCAAAACAAATCCCCATTTTACAGTTGACACAGAAAGGAGTCTCAGAAATGAGGGAGGCGGGTCTTTAGTCTGGGACCCAGCTGATGGTTTCCTTAATGGAGAAAAACATTCCTTGGCAAGTGCGGGTAGATGTCATTACAGGCATACCTCGGAGATATTGCGGTTTGGTGGTCGCGAGGCTCCAGACCACCGCAATACAGCGAGTCACACGATTTTTTTGGTGTCCCGGTGCATATCAAAGTTAGGTTCACCCTATACTGTAGTTTGTTAGGTTTGCAGTAGACATTTTTTCAAAAAAACAATGTACATACCTTAATTTAAAAATACTTTATTGGGACTTCCCTGCCGGCCCAGTTAAGACTCCCTGTTCCCAATGCAGGGGGCTCAGGTTCGAACCCTGGTCTGGGAACTAAGATCCCCCATGCCGCATGGCGTGGCCAAAAAAAAAAAAAGAAAAAAAAACTTTATTGCTAAAAAACGCTAACCATCATCTGAGCCTTCAGTGAGTGGTAATCTTTTTGTGACAGTAACATCAAAAATCACTGGTCACCAAAAAAAAAAAAAAAAAAAAAAAAA